TCAACAACAACACTATTTCTCTACAACAAATACTCAACTCATCAAATCTGGCTGCACATTTTCAGACACCTTTATCACAACAAGCATTTCTGCAGTTCAACCTCCTACAAGATTTTTTGCAAGAGAGAAATGATTTACAAGGAAATGATAGATGGTCAGTAATAGGGACTACTAGAGGTTATTCCTCCATCAAGATGTATGCTTATATGATGGGACCCAACAAAGTACACACTCTGTTCAGAGAGATCTAGAATACCTCATGCAGACTGAGACACCAAATCTTCATTTGGCTTCTTTTACATGATAGGATCAACACAAGAAACTTGCTCCATCGAAAATCAATGGCTTTGGACAGCTATAATTGTGCCCTATGTGCGGACAACACTGAAAAAACGATTTTGCACCTATTTAATTTGGAACTGTCCATTTGCATTGCAGTGTTGGGATAAGATCATTCCAGACAAGAAAAGAGGCATATCTGTTCTAGATGATATTCAAATGGCCATCCAACAACTTCCTCAAAGCATAGCCATGGACATAGTTATCATGGTATGTTGGGGGAATTTGGTCTATCCGAAATGATAAATTTTCAGATTTGCAGTTCCTCACATTGATGGATGGTGTTACTATCTACAGGAAGGGCTCAGAGCAGTACAGATCAGAGCCAAGCAAGCCAAAGCTCACAAATCAGGGTCTGGATAGAACAGAACATTTAATTTTCATGTTTCATAAAACTAGCATTGGTTGATGATTTTTGCTCATGTTTTTTTATTCGTTTTTGTACATATTTATATTAATGAAAATACCGTAGACAGTGCTTTAAGAAAAATGAAGATCACCAACAGGTCATCATGGAAATCAAAGATTTTGATTGCTAATCAAGAAAGGGTTCAGCCATTCTCTACTACATCGGCAGTCAGAATATTAGGAACATCAGTTCAAAACCTACCATATTAGTGTTCCATCAGGGGTCTGCGCTTAGATAGGCAAATGTGGTATTCTATCTCAAAAACAAATAGGGTGTGCGCTCATATCGGAAAGACGGGATGAGGATTTGCAGTGTATTAAAAGTCTAATGTGCACTTTTAATGGACGGTTAGATTAGATTGGTACTCCAAACTCTTTTTATGGTTCCCTTCAGAAAAAAAAATCTTTTTATGGAGTACCGGAGTTTTTTTAGAAAAGGAGGATGACTCCCGGTCTCTGCATCTGGGAGATGCATGCGGTCATTTTATTGATTATTCTCGAAGACCTTATAAAGTAGAATTATAATATGTCTGAATTCATCATCTTGGCAATCTGTCGCTACTCCTACCCATATGATGAAGGGGTGCAAGCTGGTCACATACCCAGACCTCTCACCTAAGTTTAACATCCAAAGCCGGAGGTCCCGACCGAGCCATCTGCCAGTTCTGGGGCACAAACCGGTCCAACGCACTCACGTGTGTCAACCTTGGCAGGTCCTCCCCAATTGACGCCACCACGATGCCAAACGACGACATCCACCTATGCAAGCCTTGGCAGGTCCTACGCCATCGACGCCACCACAACGCCAAACGTCGACCTCCACGAACGCGAGTCCATCTCCAAGCAACGGACGTAGATCCATGCTAGGATAGGAGCGCACCATCACCGTCGCCCACCACCTGCAAGCGCCACCCAACCCCAAGGTTCCCAAAGCAGCGCATTCAAGAAGGGAATGGCGCCATGAGCGCCGCCGCCACCCAACAAAGTTAGGGCTTTCGCCCGGGAGACCTAGGGGAAGGGGAGGTGAGGACATCAGTCCATATCGACGCCTCCAAGGACGAGAACGACGCCCTCAGGCGTCGCCGTCGGCGCAACCGGTCATGGCCGGTCAGGGATTTCGCCCGAACTAGATCCCTGCCACCAGCAGCGCCTCCTGTATAAAACCGGCAACCAAGGGAGGCGCGGCCCGACCAGGCTGGCCCGCACGCCGAACAGGGAAGGAGGGGAGGCGCCAGATCGCGTGCACCGACCGTCGTAGAAGCCGCCGCCAGCCGCCAACGACCACCGGGATCCCGCCGCCCGCACGGCCAGTACGCCAGATCCACCGCCCGCACGGCTGCTCGCCGGAGCCTGCCGTGCATCGCCAAAGGAGCCGCCACTCCAGATCCGGGACTCCCCACGCAGGCAGGGCAGCCGAGGCCCCGCCGCCACCATCCTTGGCGCCCCGGACTTGCCCGGCGGCGAGGAGGTGGGGCGAGGTGGGGAGGGGGCCGTGGCGGCACGGCTAGGGTCCCCCCGCTGCCGCTGAGGGAGGCGACGCGGGGAATGCAGGGGTCGCGGGAGGGGTATGAAGTACGGGGGTTCCATAAAAAAAATTTCATTTTTTGGTTTTGGCGATTGTTTATTGTTGGCCCCCCAAAAAATAGGCACTGAAGGGGTATTGGGATGAGTTAGATCCCTTTAAAACTCAATGGTGGCAGTTTTTTAAGCACTAGAGCTTTTTTTAGTGTGGATTAGAGTTGCTTTTAGAGGATTCTTGTGAGGAAAAGAGAGTACGATAAGATCACACCCGTACCTAGGCATATCCGTTGCAAGAAATTACCAGAATACTCCTACATTGAAATTCACTCTAAGATACGAGGGGAGGCATCGCCGGAGCTTCTCGGGGATCATTCGTACATGCCAAATCTACTGGCCACAAACAGCTAGAAACAACACAGGCAAATCATCACCAGCAAGTTTAAGAAACTAGAAACAAATAGGCCACATCGAATCCATCTCGGGGAATCTTAATTAGTTTAACGCTAGCTACGGCGGAGGATCCTACATATTGAGACTTGCTTGCATGCGAGTGTCCCATCGATGGTGCTTGAAGATTCTTAGCTATTGATGCTGCCGTCAAGCTGGCCCAGAATCGGCTTTGTCCTATCAACTGGGTTCACTGGACTGTTTCTGTCTATGGCTTTCTAGTTATTTCATGCGAGCACTTAAGTATCCTCAACATCATCGAAACACTCAGCTCCAGCTCAAAACCCTTTTTCTAGTGCTGATTGGGATGCTCTGATTCGCTATACACGGCGTCTTGTTTCAAGAACTATGCCCTTCTAGTTTGCGAAAAGGACGAGTGTTATTATGTAGTAATTCGAAACTGTGTAAAGTGTTATTGTATTCGCTACATATGTGTTCCCCATTGGGGGAATCGACATGTAGTAACTCGTAGTAGGTTGCATCATTCACGACATGCATAGTAATGTTGAACTTCTATTTCTATAAACATGAATACCACAACTTTTGATGTTTGCCACGCCCATGTCTCCTATTATTGGAGTTGTCGGAAACATGTGCATATTGGACTGTGAATGGCGGATATTGCTATAAGTGATGGGCCCTACATCGAGCATATTGAATCGCAATCGCATGAGTAGTTTTGTAGTGAGAAGTTAATGCCCCTTTGTCTTCTCCGTTGCTTTTTTGGAAGAGATCACTCCTGATGCAGTACTAATTTGGATTTGGAAGAAGAGGTGGTTCCACTCCCCCCTCTGTCTCTCTAGCAGTGTTATAGAATTGGTAAAATGTTCTAGAATATTAAAATTTTATAATAGACACACAAGTCAGTAAGAAGGTATACAATCCATTTCACATTCCTTGTACTCTAAAACCTATGACTTTTCCTCAATAAATAAATACAACTGCCTGTGACTTCTTTCTTTTCGCAATGAAAAGTTTGAAAACAAATAGTCCTCTCCGCAGATGCCACTTTCAGCTAGACGACCCATAAGACAACCAACAAAAATGTGATCGTATTTAACAGCGTGCCGAAAAAACATTTCATCAGTTACTTTCTTTTCTGGCCATCAGATCAATATCCAACGGTTAGGATCATGCCGCAGCTTGTTCATCCTCCTCCCCCGCAGCCTATGCAGGCCTAACCGCCTGCCTCCCGCAGTCGGCTCGCCGCACCGTCCTTCCCTCTACCTCCCCATTATCGTCATCCCCTCTACCTCCCCATCAACGTGCTGGTCGGCGTCCCGACCATCCCTCTAAGCCCCGCACC